GGCTTTGTCTGCTTGTCATCCATTCGAAGCTGCACGAGATCGGCTATACGCTCGTTTAGCAGCAATGAAACGAAAGGTAGCGATGCATCGGTTTCTATATAACTCTATGCTTAAAATTTTTTTGAGGTGGACAAATACGAGCCACTTTTGGATGCTGAATGTGGCGAAGTTCACGAAGATGCCGAGTTAGCAGCAAGTGCCGATCGGCCATATGAGGTATGGCTCGACATGGAAGGGCCAAATATAGAATCGGCGGATGATGGTGCCCACATCTTTCGATCATTTTTGGAACAGCAACCTAGCAAGGTGAGTTTTCCTCCTCTCATGCTATTTATCACCCTCATCCTTTCTATACCATTTCTGTATTCCCATATAAAGCGTCAACTCTTGCAGTTACATCGTCGTGCTATCTCTTATGTGATCAGTACTGTTGGTCTGTTGATAACAAAAATTGGCATGGAGTCATTTCCAAGGTAATCTCATTAAAATTCTCTTTTAGCTTATCATAAGGGCAATGCGCATCAGCCCGGCTCAACCTTGATCCATAACCTCAAAAATGGTACAATTTTTGTCTTGTAAAGAGCTTCTCATAAGTTTAGAGTGGGCTCTGGCTTTAAAAAGTACAAAATTTAAAGTTTTCAAAACCTGTTTTTTTCTTAAGTGTCTCCGAGCGTGCCATTGGTCAACTGGCTGCACTTGTTGAGCAAGACTCGTCTCCAATCACAGCCGCTCAACTCACACAGATTGCCTCCCTGTTTATCTATGCAGTCCATTGTAATGGGATTGTTGGTCAGTTCAAATTAATCTCTACCTGCCTTAAGGATCTCTCAAATCAAAGTTTTGTAGGCGATGCTGATGTATGTAGTGTGCAGCAGCAACAGGCTGTACGAGCTCTTGTTAGTGTTTTTGGTGCCTATCTACGTCCAATCGTAATACGAGTGGATGAAATTCGCTCGTGGATTCAGGGGACTTCTGCAGTGCCATCTGTGGTATATGGTAAAATTTAACTCAACTGATATTAGCAATTTTTTGTGCTTCCAGGTCGCGCGAGTATTGCCAGCCATCTGCGTGTTATGCGAATGGTTCTCCTGTCCTCTAGCGTCAGCAATATATCGAACTATGCCATCAGTGGAAGCTTTGCCATTATCAATTGTTGATATTGATACTTGGCATTTTCTGGCTAAAATATCAAATGAGCTGATGCATTGGCAGGATAGTGGCATGCTAGCGAAAATTGAGAATAGCGGAGGTGAGGAGTAGATCCTTATTTGGTAAGAGATCTTGTAGCTTTTTGCTTATCGAGATTGCATAATAGTACAGCAAGTCTTATACAGAAATACCTTCTTTGATGA